CACCCTTGAAAGCTTAATCAGTATTTAAGTTTTCATTTCCAATCTCATTATGGCTGCTACTGCAGACAGACGGTGTGGAAGGGCTCCAGGCAGGTCCCACACACCTGCACAATCTTGCCAAAATCTGAAAGCCCAGACCTGAGCTGAAAAAGGGGTCACACAGACGGGATTGGTGGGGTGGGGGGGTGAAGGAGGGCTGCTTAGGTTCCTGAGTCTCTTTTTGTGCAGCCTCCCTTCCCAGCAAGGGTTGTTACCACATCTCCTAGAGACCTCAGTCTGAAGGGTGACTTGCTGGGAGCTGTAAGGGGCCACAGATTCTCTAGACAGGCAAGGTATGACTGCGTGTTCCAGATTGCTCTACTGTAAAAAGAAAAAAAAAAAAATCCATTCCCCAAAACACCATTCCTCATTGTTAAGCTAACACACTCATTTAGACGAGAGACAGCAGCATGCTGAGAATGTCATTCCATTACAACACTGCCACCTCTTGTTATTCTGCTGGTTTAATTTTTGCCCAGCTCCAATCTATGAGGGATCCACCACCAACAGAAAGGCATAAAGTCTCCACTACTTTTGTTAAACTGAAACCTTACAAGGAAGAGCAACTGGCTGGATGCAATATAATGTACTTCTATACAAGTTGCAAAACAGTAGAATGCTTGAAAACATCCACATATTCTATCAATCAGTGTTGATTAGTCTGTAACTATTTTCTCTGCTAACTCAGAGAATGAGGTACTGAAAGAAATGGGGTGGGGAAAGAGAGGGGAACAAAGCAAACCTACCAAAACAACAAGAAAACACCCCAGAATGTGAGAAGCAGCAAAATCCACCTCAGGAGAAAGTGTCATGGGATTTGTCCACTACACGTGAAATACATTTTTTCCATGCAATGTTACCTCCAAATTCTGTGACTTCTGATGTGAACCTCAGTTTTCCTCTCAGTACTTGTGCAATCTGTTACCCCAGGGGCTGCCACCCATTGGCATACATTTTCCAAATACTGATTAAAGAGCAGAGCCTGCCTCCACCAGGAACACCAAGCCTGAGAATTATGTAGAGCCTCCTGAATAAGACTTCGCTGCAGATAAATAATGTAAGCTGATTGTCTTTAGGTTTTAACCAGGTGGTCTCTGGGAAGAGGTTTGCTCTAGAAGAAGGAGGATCACACTGTGCTAGTAGGTATGACAAGGGGAAAGCCCACACATGGCAAGGAAAAGAGACAAACTGGACAGACTGGCTGGGCCTCTTTGTCCAGCTGCTTGCTGTTCAACTAGTTCTCCATTGGGGTTTGACTACTGACACAGATGGGGGTTCTTCATGGATTGCTTGATTTCTAGCACTGTATTTCATTTTTATTTATTTCAGATAGCAGTTATATATAACACTCTCTTGAATTAACACCTTTTTGCTAGACTTGTTCATGATGTGTCTCTATGTTTCAGTCTTCATGCGCAGAGTAGCTGAAAACAGGGGTAATGTAGCCAGCATTACTCCTGGGAGCTGCCAGAAGCCTCTGAAGCTGGTGAGTCACCCAGGCACACAGCACAGATCCCCTGGGCTGTAGGACCAGCTGAAACTGCTGGTCAGCCCACCACACAGAAAGAAATAACCTGACAACCAGACTGTCAGGAGCAGTTTTCACAGCTCTTTCTAGCTGGAAGATCCAGTCAAAAAGAAAAATTTGTTCTTCAGATGGTGTTGGCAGGAGGCAAGTAGATTTACTGTAGTTGACTTCTAACACAATAGGACTTGAAGCAGCTGGGTTTTTCTACTTCATACTCAATAAACACATTAATTCTGAACCACATTTATTGAATCCAGTCTTTCTTGCAACCCCCTCTGGTGTCTAAATCCAAGATGAGCCCTCAAAATCTGTGCTTCCTGTTTTGGACAGGTTGTATGCAGGGCCCACCTTGGAAATATTACTAAGGTGAAATCAGGAGATATTTTAAATTTTTAAAAAATGTGTCATTTCATGTAACTGATTTCAAGTGAAAAATACACAAACGCCAAGTCTGTCCTGACTCCTACAGCATAAGTTTCTCTCCTGACCTATTTTTTTTAATCTCTACAATAGAAACATGTGTAATGTCATGTAAGTGGTCATTGATAATCAACAAGATAAGAGCCCTCAGGTTAGTGTATACAATATTGCAGAGAGTATTGTCATAGTGTCAGTATCATTAAAGCAATCCCAAAATCCTGATTCCTTAAGTTAGGTTTTATGACTTTGATCTTTAGGTAAGTTGCATTTATAATTTTGAGCACTACAATCTGGCAAAACAAGAACTATAAAGTCAACATATAAGCTGAATGTTTCTTGATATATTTTAATCCAATATTTCATGTTTCAGTCCAGTTCTATGTAAATACACCTTCAATAAATGCTATATGTCGAGTCAATCTACACAAGCTGTTCATTGAGATGCTTCTGGTACTTGGGGCTGAACACAGCCATTGATTGATAAAGCCCTTAATAATCTGGTTTTACCTGTGAATGATCCTGAAGTAATAACATTGTACCATATAAGGCAGCAAAAGGGGATGTTTCAGATGAGGGAAACATGGAAAAATTATCCTGTATGGGAAAATTAAATGCATCCAGAAACTGGTGCCAAGGAGTGAAGCAGGGTGGCTTAGTTTACATCCTGGCTTTTAAATACAAGTTATACACAAAAACCCCACTCTGTTAGATACTATAAGTAAAAACCTGCATTTAAAGGATATAATTGTATGGACATTCCCTGTCAGTGTCTGTACCACAATAAATACTGATAGAACCATCAAACAACCAGAGTATAAAAAATATAAGTCCTTGTTATTCTTTGTATGGGAACCAGAGATGCTACAAGAATTATTTCATTATTAATTGAGAAATTAAGGATTTCTACAATATCTCTGGGAAACATCATAAAAAACATCCACAAGCAGCTGCAAGTTTACAAAAGCTGGCACTTGGCTCCAGCCCTGCAAATGCACTATCACACCTTCCCCCTAGAGGCGTTACTCACCCGCGGTAGTAGAAGTTGCAGGCAGAGCTAGCTGCCACTCCTGACTGTTCTTACCCTGGTCACAATATATCCATTTCTCTTTGTCTGGTCCTCCCTGAACAGTGTTCCTAACAAGTGCACCATGGCTACTGCTTTAACTTAACCCTCCCCTCCTGACTCCCTCACACACACAGTGCCCCAGTCCAGTACTGCCCTGCCCATGAATGGGAGACCTCAGTCTTGTGGCCCCACCTGTTAAAACAGCCTTCACACTCTGGGTGTTTTCAGATGCCCTTTATTTTGTCCTTCTCCAGGCTAAGAAGAGCTCAATCAAGTTGTGAAAAATAATAACTAATAACAACAATAAACCCCAGCAACTACAATACCGTCAATAACAATAGTAGTAATACTGATAGCAAAATGAGCAGTGGTGGGTTTCTTTTTGAAGTCAGCTCCTCTGTACCTGTTCAGTCAGAATTGCTTATGTACTCTTACTGTTTAGAAGTAAAGCAGATGCCTTACAGCAGAAACCTTTTTCTCACCCAGAAACTCTGGGTTTCTCATCTATATTTGTGCTCTCTTCAGCATGAAATATGAAATTTGCTTGTATGTCTTTCCCCGATGTGGGCTTTGGCCCATGTAACCCCTCATCTCCATGCTGATAGAATTAAGAGCTTGTTCTCACAGACACCCACAGATGAATTGTGACAAAGGAGAGGCAAGAAATTCTTTCAGGCATCCATCATTTACTATAATCTAACACAAAGTAACATAGGTGATCCAGCTCATGGTAGTTGCCTCCGGTACACTGCCTCCCCAGACAGGTCCCTGCAGCCGGGATACACCCTGTCCTCTCCCAAAGAAAAACCTGAGGTCCTAAGCTTCTGTATTTGTCACAGTCCCTCTGGGTGCCTGTGGGGAGGAAGCAGACGTCAGCTGAGCAGCACCAGAACACGTGAACCTTGGTTTCTAGTCCTGTCCTGACCTGGCTGATGGCCTGGCTAAAGCACACAGTAACACATGCAGTAGTTTTGGAGATACCCTTAGCCTCTCCCTCTGAGTGCCACGGATTCCCATGTGTGAATTAAAACACCCAAAATAGTGTCATCAGAACACTGACTTTATTAATAGAGACAAACAAAGGATTAAAACACGTTATGAGTTTGCTGAAATACACAGTGTACCTGTGGAGGACAGACATATTTATATACATCAGTTCATTGTAGAAACATGAGTAGGATATCCCCAGGTAGTTTGCAACGAATCCAGACAACTTTCTCTCCGTGGTGGCCCTGGTAAAGCAACCGATATCCCCCCAGCCCCACCCCAGCCAGGCTAGTGCCGGACCCCCTGCACACCATCAGTGTCTCATGCCCGACTTTCTACAGCACAGGGTGAGCACACCTGGATTTGGCCTGAGGCCAGCGGTGCGGGTGGACCCCACCGAAGGCTGCAGGCTGCTTGCTCTGGGGTGTGCCGAACTGGGTCCTCTCAGCGGGGAGGCGAGAGAGAGGGGCCAGAGTGCTTTGGACACACCGCATCCCGCCTGCCCCCGCTACCCCCAACCACCTCAGGGGAGTCCCCTGGCCCCGGCTCCTCCAGCCGGCAGTGGGTGGATGTTTTTCGCCCGAGGAAGGAGCTGAGCAGCTCGGGGCACGGCACCGGGCCAGTACGGCTTCCCGGCATGGCTTGGCACTGCTCGGGTCTGCACTGGGACGGCACTGCAGCTCCCGGGACCAGCACCTCTACTCCCAAGGCACGGCCCGGGATTTTCCTGGACGGACAAAAGCAAGCCGGGGAGGAGGGGAGGGAGAGGACGGGGTGGGGCGGGGGAGAGAAAGAAAACAGCTCCACGGATGTCGGATGTCACGGACGGCGTTACACGGGCGACGCAGGGACTTCTCGCCGCGTTTCTCGGGCGGAGGAGCTGCGGGAAGTCGCCGGCACGTCGGGACGGCCAGACGTCAGTGCCTGCACCCCCGGCGGCTTGTCCCGGGACGCCTCTGCTTACAGGCACTTGAGGAGGAAGGAATTGCACGACGTCCCCCGGGGGCAGTCGCAGAGCTTCCCGATGCGAGCCCCCTTCCTCACGGCGCACTGCTCCCCGGCGTCGCACTACGGGCAGCGGCTGGCGGTGAGAGGGACCGCCACCAGCGGCCGCCCAGTTCTGTCCCGTCCCGTCGCGTCCCGTGCCGTCTAGCCTAGTCCCATTCTTTCCCGTGTCGTCCTGTCCAGTCTAGACCAAGTCCCTTCCCTTCCCTTCCCTTCCCTTCCCTTCCCTTCCCTTCCCTTCCCTTCCCTTCCCTTCCCCATTCCGTCCCTTCCCCATTCCGTCCCTTCCCGTTCCTTTACCATTCTGTCCCCATTCTGTCCCTTCCCCATTCCGTCCCTTCCCGTTCCTTTTACCATTCCGTCCCGTCCCGCCTCGTTCTGCTCTGCCCCCTTCCCCTTCTTTTTTTTGCCTTCCCGGTCCCGTCCCGACCCGTCCCGCTGGGACACGCACCATGGGCACCTGCCCGAACTTCTTCTCGTAGTGCGGTCCCCTCTTGCTCTTGAGCTTCTCCAGCACCTCCTGCAGCGCCTCGATCTACCGAGAGACCACAGAGCCGCCGTCAGACCGCGCCCGCCCCGCCGGCGCCCCCCGCCCGGCCCCGGCTCCCGCCGCACCAGCTCCTTCTCCCGGGAGGCGCCGCCCCCGCCGCGCGGTCCCAGGTCGCGGGCGCGGCGCGGCGGGGTCGCTCCGTGTCCGCGGGCGCTCAGCAGCAGCGCGGCCGCCACAGCGCACAGCGCCAGCGCCCGGCAGCTCTCCATGGTGCTGCCGCCCCGCCGCCGCCGCCGCCGCCTTTATAGCGCCGTGCCCGCCCCGCCGTGCGTCAGCGCCCACCGCCGCCGCGCCCCGAGTGTCGGCACTCGCGGCTGGGCTCCGCGCCCCCACCTCCCCACCGCCCGTCCTGGCCCTCGGGCCAAACAGCGGATCCGTCTCTGAGGGCGGCCGAGGGGAAGGCGGCCAGCCCAGCCGCACCCTGCCCGCACTCTCTGTGCTCGACCCCAGTCGAGGGCTGTGAGCAGAGTGGGAAACTATTCCCTCGTTCCTGGGGGATGGCTGGGATGTTTGAGGGAGAGGGTGAACGTTGGACACACAGAGATGAAAGTGGAAGTTTGGCTTCTAGACTAGGGAGACTAAGCTTGGAATTCAACACAGGGATCTGACTGGAGGGAGGGTAAGTACCCCGTGGGCTAAGGAAAAACACCATGTGCTAGAAGGAAGGAAGAATCATGTGGGAAGATTAGCCTAAAGGAGTCGGGGGAATAGGGGGGTGGTAGATAGTGGTGATGAGCAACAAGGTGATGAGGATGTGAATGCTTGAATAAGGACAGGTGGGAACCAAGAGTGAGGGGAGGCTGAGAGCAAGGTAAGAAGCAGCATCAAAAGGCCCAGGATAAAAGTTACTGCTAATATATCACGCAGAACTGTGAATGGTGCTTGAGGTCAAATATCATACCAGTGACCAGGTCCTTGGGGAGCATTATACATGCTTTGTGTGGAATGAGACCACCTCTTTTTGGGAAAGAAGTGTAGCCACCAAAAGGACACCTAGCATCAGTAAACACGTGTCATTCAGACCTTCCCAATGATGTTTGGTTCTACCAGCCCAGTGGCCTCGTGTCCATGAACATTCTCACTAAAAAGATCATTGGCAGGTCAAACCTGCCCAGGGCAGTGGCAGGGGCAGCTCTTCCCATTAAGAAAAGCAGTGGTATGCCAAGAAGAGCATGCAAGATGAAGGACAGCCAGTGCTCAGCCTTTCTCCAGCCTCCTCTGGGCCAAGGCTGGGCTAAAACAGGGTCACTGAGCAGCAGTTTGCTGGCATGAGACATTTGGCCACCTGGTTGCTGGGACAAGGACGCAACAAGCTGGGTCTGCCTATGAGGAGGTTTCACTTCAAGCTCATGGCTCTGAAGTGGCTATGAGCATGTTCCTGCCTGCAAGTCTACAGCAGCAGGAACTGGGCTGTGTCTCCTTAGGTGAAGGGAGGATCATCTGGAGAAGGAGGAAACTGGAGAACCTTGTTAACAAAACTCTCCCAGCTCGAGTTAACAAACTCTTAACAGCTGGTCATTTGTAGGGAAGCTAGGAAGGGGAGCTAGGAACAGCTTGAAAAGGCAATGCAATGTGAGCACAAACACAAGGTTGTTTAAAGAAAAATTAAACAGGTCCAGGCATGTATTTTTCCAAGCAGATGGGCATTTTTCCAAGGGAACAAAAGGGCTGTGGTTCAACAAGTAATTTTCAACAGCAGCATTTTGTTTGAGGTTCTGATCTCTCTAGCACATTGCTTGCCTCCAGTTCTGCGTGTTCACCTCTTGCTGTTACCTCCTCCCACACGCTCCTATTGATCATCACATCCAGCAAAGGTCTCATTTGTAATTGCTGGTCAGAGTAGAGATCCTCGGTCTGCCTGCATGGATCCTCCAGTTTCATTTAGCCACAGGGAAGGTTAAGATTTCTGACGTCAGGCTGGTAGTAAACCACTCATAGCAAAGTCCAGGCTTTGTTCTCAAGCTGGAGCAAAACCACAACCACATGCAATACTGAAAATGATGGGTATGCCAAAACAAAGTTTCTTAGAACAGAGAAATAACCCAGGCTATGAAAAATGCAACACTTCATACAGAGAGGCAGATATATGGCCTATTCAACTTTAAAAGCAGCATCTGTGAGGTCTGACCAAAAATTCAAACCATATTTTATAGTATGAGGATTACTCATGCAGTGTTGAACACACCGGAGATGTTCAGAAAACATCACTGTTTTCCTTCCAACTTACACTTCCAGTAAAAAGCTGAGTTTAATGTTAGCTACTCCAGTAAAATTATTGTTGAATGTGGAGGCAGTTACAAATTTCTGTTTCCAAAAGTAATTTTGTCTGTCTGGCTACAGACATCCACAGAACTAAACAAGTTTCTGTGCCTGTTACTGTCTGTATCACCCTGTCTCTGCAGACATCACTGTCCCTTGTTCCCCATTCAGCCATTTTTGTACACTTTATCTCCAGCACTAGGGGATAAAAAATCAGCAGGATTAACATCAGCAGGATAGCTGACTATTAAATAAGAGCATCAGAGGCTACCAGAGTGTCAGAGAAAAAGGTCAAGATACAAAACCAGAAAATCATAGTTTACAATTACAAAAAGGTAGGTTTTCCAACAGCATCAGTAACCAGTCCTAAGACAGCTGGCTATGGAATGAGGGGACCCTGTGGCACTTAAGCACTTAGCTCTGGGTAGTCCATGTGAAATGTGATCAGACCTTGGGGATGGACGGTCCTGTTGTACTAAAGTACTAATTCAAGTTTCTCAAAGCTTACTTTCTCCATGCAAATGTTATTGCACACAAGGTACAAACAGAACACTACCAATGTGCATTAGCATCTGTACATCAAATGGATAATTTTGAAAGTCACACATGCTTTTCATAATCACACTCTTCCATCATGATCAATTAATTAAGTGTACTTCTAAAAGTGGGAAAGTAATGGAGGTTTATGTTGATGCCGGTGAGCAGTTCTGAGGCATTTATGTGTGTTCCAGTTTTAGAGCTGGACAGATTTTAGGACTACTAGACTGTAGAGATTAGTGTCAAGCATTTGAACAAGTGCTCTACTGAATCAGAGACACAAAAATAGACATCTGGCTTTAAGTGGATGCTTTAAGGCTTTGCAGAAAAGCAGCAGGCTTTATAACTGCCTTGTTAAATTGCCTTAATTTATAAACCACAGTTAAAAAAATAATATACCATCATTGGTTTTTTGAATCAAGACTTTTTTTTTTTTTACTGAAGCCTTGAACAGTGAGGAAAATCTAAGATAAATCAGAGTTACTGTTGAAGTAATAAGAGTCCAGAGGCATACTTGAAAGACATCTATTTCAGCAGGAGATAGCAATTCATCTTGATGAGTAATAGATTGGAAGAAAGCCACTTAAATAAAAGATGGGTTCTCAGAAAAACAGTACATATACCAATGCCCACACAAACAATGAGGCTACAAACTCCCCAATAAACTAACCCCACACGGGTGGAAGAGCAGTGGGAACAGGTCCCCAGTGGCTTCTCCATTTCTGCAGGCAGAGCTATCGCAGAGACCGTGCACTGTCCACATCTCATTTCAGCCCTGGAAGCAGGCTTGTAATGATTGTGTTCCAGAGGCTCTACCTTGATGTTTGTTGAACAAACTGCCACCAATTTTGATTGAAGACCAAATTGTAGCTTCCAGGTTCCCAGAACTTTCCTAGCTGCCATTAAAATAAAAAGGAAAGTGGCAATGGGTACATTTTTATGATCCATCCTGAATTCACCACCTCAGCCCAGGTAATTTGAGAAGGAAACCCTTGGTTACTGCAACAGTCTCTAAGGTCATGAAAAGAAGCTTAGCCCACCTCATTCATGGTTTCCCATTTCCTTCTGTAGAGGTGTTTGAAAACACCATCAAGGTCACAGTATTGACTCTTTCAAACTCCTTGCAGTTAAGTGTTAACCTCTTAAAGAGAACATGTCTGTGACGGAGAAACAGAAGTAGGTAACCTCTTGGTCTCCCCTCTTCTCAGGGGCTGGAGGGAGGCACATAGCTCAGAAGAGCTATGCCCAAGGCAAGACTAGATAGAAGCAAAGGTCCCCAGAAATCTTGAGCACCTGGTGTGGCGTTCTGGTCCACCACAGTTTGTGTGCTTGATATAGCACAGCTATTTCCCTTATTCTTCAACCTTCATTTGAAAAATCAGTGTCATCCCAAGTACCACCCTTTCCAGTAAGGAAACAGATTAGTGGTTGTGAGCTACTTCAATACCACAGTGAAGAGGTTACATGTACCTGAGACAAGTAGGAAAAGTCTTGAAATGGTGACCCACAGCTTTTACATTGCCTCTGCCAGCACAAATATTATATCTTTACAGTGGCAGCTACCTTTAATCTAGGTTTATTTAAAATTTCCTTTCACTCCAAACGAGATCCTACTGGTAGCACAGTGCCAGTGAAAACTGAAAATTACTGTTGTAATGGCATCCATGTTAAACCTAAAAAGGAGCTGCTGCTGCAAAAGCATGAGAGTCCTGGTGGCAGACAAAATGTGAGAGCTCTGGGTGATTATTTTGAGACAGCATGAATAGATCTACCAACATCATCAAATGTAGTACAAGCATGGGGTCCAACTCCTCACTCCTGCTGACTCCACAGAAAACAATGTTGTTCAGCAAACCTCTGGGCAGCAAGACATCATCTCAGCAATCAGAACACCATCACACACAAGGAGCACTGCGTGCAGTCAGTGCCCCATTCAGTATGCAGCACAGTAACATGCAAAAGCTTTTCCAAAATAGCTGTGTAGTGGAGGAGTGATAACCACTAGTGGCTCTCTGAACTGCTCTGCACTGAAGATCCTGCTCGGTAGCAACGGCTAACCAGATCATGCTGATAGGATGCTAAACCTGTAATGATTAATTTCATTTGTTTAACATGTTTCCAAAGCTAAGTATTATTAAGGCAGAACACTGTTATTTAATTAGACATGTGTTTTGACTTTACTTGCATACATATTCAGAGGAAGAAATTTTGACAAGTGTAAAGAACTGTCTTTTTTAGATGTAACAAGCAACAGGGAATTACCATTCCCAGAAGTATCTTTCCAAACATACCTGCTTCTGTCACCTGTATCCCAGGATTATCTGTTACTGTCTCCAACTTGGCATGATTTAATTACCAGTGTAACTGAAATAATGTATTCAAAATAAAAATATTATTCAGAACAGATCACTTT